TTGTCGGCGGATGTTTAGCTAAATAACTATACAATAGATTTAGAGGTAAATGTGCCGATAGGCTGATCCATGTATTCATTATAAATGTAAAATATGATATAAATGCACCAAAAATTATAGCAATTATAAATATAATTTTATATTTCAATGTTGAATCAATATGATAGGTGCCATAGATTATCAATAATAGACAGGGAGTCGATATATAATACATGATAAATGTTATCCATGAAAAAAAATTATTAAATTGTTTAATAATTTTTGAAAAATTATTATGTAATTCAATTAAATTCATAAGTAATTTATAGTAATAAGTTTTTTGTTGTTTTTGTTTTGGTTTTGGTTTTTGTTGTAATTTGTTTAATTTAATTAATAATTTTTTTAAATCATTAAAAATTTCCAAACATTTCAATTGACTATAGGCTGCAAATGCATACCATAGACAAAAACCCATATATAAACAACTTGCTATCTTTAATAATATTAAAACTGTTAGGATATATAGTATTGAAAATTTTAATATCCACCAATAGCTTCTAATAGTATCAAAATCGCTTATCAATGCTAAATAATAAGCATATAATTCAACTAGGCCAATTGTTAAAGTTGAAAAATAAATTTCAATGTTTATTAATTTGGCCATTAAATTGCATTTATAGGTTATTTGTTTCAATTGAATTGGATTAGTTAATTGATATTCAAATCTATTGTATTTAATTTTATATAAAATTTCCATCCAATATAACTGTTGATTGAATTCCTGATAGTTTACTACAGTTAACACAGAAATTGCTGTAAATATACCAATACTTATAGCCAGTCCTATGAGTCTAGGATTGGCTATCGTATAGTTTGGATCACCCATTAAGTCCCAAATCCATAACTTTAAATAATATATATATATATATATATATTAATTTAACATTAAATAAATTAAATAATTTCTTTTAAAAGTATATTATATACCTCATTAATAATAGCAGTTGTTAGAAATTTTAGACAATATATCAATAGTATAAACTGTGTAATCAATACACAGACAACTCTACGTTTAGACAATTGTTGTCTACAAACATAACTATCAAATGAATTGTTTAGACATATATAATATCGGCGTTGAATTGATTCAATTATTTCAATAAATGATTTAAAACTAGTATTGTTGTCATTATTTTTATTGTTATTATTATTAGAATTTATTTGTAGTTTATTAATAAAAAATATTTTTATCTTATTAAATGAATTCATATTTTAATAGAATTTCAATAGAAATAAAATCTAAAATTTATTTATTTTATTTATTTTTTTGTTAATATAATAATAATAAGCATAATAATTAAAAACATTAAATATTATATATTTATCTAATTAAGTCTAAGTCTAATATTCAAATAATAATTTGTGTGAAAATTATAATCTGTCATAAATAATTATTATTGTTATTATTATATTAATATTATAAATAATTACGATATTTCGTGTAAAAATTATAATTCTGTATAAAAAAATTATCTATAATTAATGCAATTAATATTTGTTTTGTATTTGATTTATATATATATTGATATATAATAATAATAATAGTAATTAATAATTATAATATTTCGTGTAAATATATTTTATTATTATTTTCAAATAAAAAAAAATATATAAAGATTTCAAACTTGAATACATAATACAATAATTTTTTTAAACTAAAAACAATTATTTTATTTTTTTTATTTATTTATCGAATTATAAAAATAATATAATTATTCACAAAAAAAACATAATATTTTAATTATTTTTTTTAATAATAATTATTAAATATCGTAGTTTCCCAGATCCAATTAAATAATTTATTGTTTTACTAAAATATAATTATTCTTATGTTATATATTTTCTTTAATTAAGTTGCATTGTTATTAAATTATTAGGAAATTTTTTTTCAAATCAAATTAAATTTAATTTATGAAATCTTATTTTTTCATTAAATATTTTAATTTAAATACATTAATAAATACATAATTGAATAAATAATCATAATTATTATAAATAGTATATTAATAGTATTATAGATAATAAAATAATTATAATAATAATAATAATAAAATTATAATTAAAAATTAATACATTATTGCGACATTTATAATGTTATTTTTCAAATAAAAATTTATATATATATATATCCTTTAATAAAATCTTTAAACTTTAAACAAATTACAACAAAAACCAAAAGTAAAACAACAAAAAACTTATTACTATAAATTACTAATGAATATAATTGAATTACATAATAATTTTTCAATAGTTATTAAACAATTTAATCATTTTCTTTCATGGATAACATTTATTATTTATTATATATCCACTCCCTGTATATTATTAGTAATCTATGGCACCTTTCATATTGATTCAACACCTATTGGCAGAATTTTATTTATAATTACTATATTTTTTGGCACATTTCTATCATATTTTGTATTCATAATGAATACATGGATCAGCCGATCGGCACATTTACCCCATAAACTATTGTATAGTTATTTAGCTAAACATCCGCCGACAACAATAACAACAACACTATCCATACATATGAGACTAAAATTGCTTATATATGCGGAACGTCTATCCATTGGTCCGACAATTGGTATCTATTGTTTGGATTTGTTTCCGGCCAAAATTTTCCTGAAAATTAAAAAAAAATTGGACATGACCCGTGTACAAAGTCATTTTTAAATTTTTTAAAAATTTATATTTATGGTATTACTTTAATATATAATAATAAAAATGATATTAATTAATGTGATATTAATTAATTGTATATTTATTATTATAAATAAAAATAATTTTATAAATATAAATTTTTATTAAATAAATAAATAAAGAAAAAAAATAAATAAATAAATAAAAAAATAAAGAAATAAAGAAATAATTTTTTATATAATTTTATTAAATAAATGTAAACAATTGGTTTTAAAATTTTAGTGAAAGTATTAAAAAATAAATAATAAATCCTAATAACTTTAATATAATAGTTTTGTCTGTTTGTTTGTTTGTTTGTTTGTATGTGTGCACACTTCCTCAACAACCATTTTTTAATTCAAAGCTAAAAATATATTGTTATATTTTCAATTTTAATTTAAAGCAATATTATTTCTATGGGAAATTTTAAATGATTATTGAGCTCAGGTAGGTTTTAGGGACAGGTAGGCTGGTGTCGTGTAATTACACTTTGCTATATTATATGAGTTACAGGGCACCGGGAGGTAAGCTACCTGTGCTAAATTTTTGCAAAATTTTCTCAAATGCAAAAATTTTCAATTTGTGTTAAAATTTTCAATTTTAATTTAAAGCAATGTTATTTCTATGGGAAATTTTAAATGATTATTGAGCTCAGGTAGGTTTTAGGGACAGGTAGGCTGGTGTCGTGTAATTACACTTTGCTATATTATATGAGTTACAGGGCACCGGGAGGTAAGCTACCTGTGCTAAATTTTTGTAAAATTTTCTCAAATGCAAAAATTTTCAATTTGTGTTAAAATTTTCAATTTTTATTTAAAGTAATGTTATTTCTATGGGAAATTTTTAATTTTTGTTGAGCTCAGGTAGGTTTTAGGGACAGGTAGGCTGGTGTGTCGTGTAATTACACTTTGCTATATTGTGTGAGTTTATGGCACATGTTAGCTACATGTGTTAAATTTCAGTAAATTTTTTTCAAATGCAAATTTTTTTTCGCAAAAATTAAATTTTCAATTTTTATTAAAATTATTTAAATATATATAAAAACTAAAATTTCTCAAAAGTTTAGTCGAATTAATGTGTATTGGTTCAGTAGTTTTGTTACATTAGGTTATGTAGTAGTTGTATAAACAAATTAAGTCTCATTCAAATTACTTATAGTAAATATTTTTAAATTAGTAAAAGAATTGCACGGCTATACATGTTGCTCGGGACAAACTAGTATGTATTAAATAAATAAGATAATTGTTTTTTTAAATTTCATTGATAGTAGTGAAAAAATGTAATAATTGCTGTGCTATATATTATATGCAAAAAAACAGCCACAATGCACATTGTCATATATTTTTTAAAATTCAGCCAATGTGCATAACTTGTTAGCTAAGTAACAATGCATTAGCAAAGGTTAATATTATTTCAATTAAAATACAAAATATTTATGAAAAAAATAAGATTTTAAAAATAAAACTTTAAAATTATGTTAATAATTTATTAATTATAATATAATATAGATTTATTGTAAACTTAATTAAAGAAAATATATAACATAACAATAATTATATTTTAGTAAATAAATTAAATGTTTAATTAGATCTGGACAACTATGATATTAAATAATTTTAATAAAAAATTATTACAATATTAAAATATTTATAGTTTTTTTTTGTAAATAATTTATTATAATTTAATATAATATTGACAAATAAAATATTGTTTTTAATTTAGAAAAATTATTGTATTATATATTGCAGTTAGAAATTGTAGTTTAATTTGAAAAAAATAAAATATATTTACACGAAATATTATAATTATTAATTACTATAATTACTATAATATATACTCAATATATATATATATATATATATATAAATCAAATACATAACAATTAATTATGTAATCTTATTATACTTTTAGATATTTATGAATTATATATATATATATATTCACACACGAAATATCATAATTATTGTATAAATAGTTTAATAAACTTTTTTTTATATAAGAGAATAATAATATAATATAAAATAAGTGCATAAATACCAATATAAAAATAATTAATAAACATATTTATTAAACAGTCATATTAATATATTAGTTTAAGTAAGTAAAAGTAAATTTATTTTTATTTTTTATATACCTATTTTTTGTGTAAAAATTAAATTATGAATTTAATTAATAAAATAAAAACATTATTAGTTAATAAACTGCTAATAATAAATCCTAATAATAGTGATAACTATACAAGTATTGAACCATTTGTTGAAACTATTGAATCAATTATGAGTCGATATTATATATTTCTAAACGATTCGTTTGATAGTTATGTTTTTAGACAACAATTGTCTAAACGTAGAGTTGTCTGTGTATTGTTAACACAGTTTATACTATTGATATGTTGTCTAAAATTTCTGGTAACAGCTATTATCAATGAGGTATATATCAATAATATTTTTAAAAACAAATATCATTTATTTATTATTAAATTAATAAATAAATTACATATATATATATATTTATAGTTATGGATTTGGGACTTATTAGGCGATCCTAACTATACGATAGCCAATCCTAGACTCGTAGGACTGGCACTAAGTAACGGTATATTTTCAGTACTAACTCTACTAACTGTACTAAACTATCAGGAATCGGCTCATCAGTTATATTGGTTGGAAATTATCTATAAAATTAAATCAAATAGTTTTGAATATCAATTACATAATCCAATTCAATTGAAACAAATAACCTATAAATGCAATCTAATGGCCAAATTAGGAAAGATTATAATCTATTTCACTACATTAATAATTAGCCTAGTTGAATTATATGCTTATTATTTAGCATTGATTAGCACATTTGATACTACTAGTAGCTATTATTGGTGGATATTAAAATTTTTAACAATCAATTTGCTAATAGTTTTAATATTTTTAAAGATAACTAGTTGTTTATTTATGGGATTTTGTGTATGGTTTGGATTTGCAGCCTATAGTCGATTGAAATATTTGGAAATTTTCAATAATCTAAAAAATTTATTAATTAAATTAAACAAATTACAACAAAAACCAAAACAACAAAAACAACAAAAAACTTATTACTATAAATTACTAATGAATTTAATTGAATTACATAATAATTTTTCCAAAATTATTAGACAATTTAATCATTTTCTTTCATGGATAACATTTATTATTTATTATATATCCACTCCCTGTATATTATTGGTAATCTATGGCACCTTTCATATTGATTCAACATTGATTGGCAGAATTTTATTTATAATTACTATATTTTTTGGTACATTTCTATCATATTTTGTATTCATAATGAATACATGGATCAGCCGATCGGCACATTTACCCCATAAACTATTGTATAGTTATTTAGCTAAACATCCGCCGACAACAACAACAACAACAACAACACTATCCATACATATGAGACTAAAATTGCTTATATATGCGGAACGACTATCCAATGGTCCGACAATTGGTATCTATTGTTTGGATTTGTTTCCAATAAATAGTTTACAAATATTTAAATATATCTATACTTGCGGTCAATTAATGTTTTTGTTAATGTCATTCATATAAATAAGTTTATGTTTTGTAAAATTTTATTTTATTTTATAATAATTTTTGTGTTTATTTTTTATTAATAATAACTAATAATGTTGAGAAATTACTAGCAAAATAATTTTACTAATAAATAAATTTTTAATTAAATATATTTAAATTAGGAAGCCAAAAAAAATATCTATAAATTTTAAACAAACAAACAAAAATATAAATAACAATTCTACAATTAAAAATATTTTTTATTATTTTTATTTAATTATAAACATAATAATATTAATTTTTATTTGTTAATTTAACAATTAAAGATGGCAGTATAATAAAAATAAATTATTATTTATGAATATTTTTTTTTAAAAATCATTTTTATCTTAATATTATACAATGTTTTTTATAAAAAAGTAAATATTATAAAAAAAATCAATTAATTGTGTAATTAAATATAAATATATATATATAACAATACTTATATTAATCAATATAGATATATAGTTTATTTTAAATAAATAAAATAAAAAATAAGTTATTATATTTCAATATGAAATAATTAAATTAAAATTAGTTTAGAAATCTTGTTTAGTTAATTTGATTTGAAAAAAAATAAAATCATTTAAATTTACAAGAAATATCATAATTATTTATAATATAAATAATATAATAATATATATATATTCAATAAATAAAACAAATAGGAAAAAGAAGTTTTATATATTATTTTATATAATTTTATATAAATAATAATAATTTACGACAGATATTTATTTTCACACAATATATATATATATATATATATATATATATATATCTAATTATTATTTAGAAATAACATATAAATATTAAATTGTAAAAAAAGTTTCATTATATTTTCAAACTAATTATTAAATAATATTGTGTTATGTTTTTTAGTTAGAAATATTTGTGTATTGTTTTTTGATTAGAAAATAATAAAATAAAATATATTTACACGAAATATCATAATTATTAATTACTATAATTATTATAATATCTATATATAAATCAAATATATATAATAAATTTTATATGTTAATTGCATTAATTATTACTAATTTACTTTTCATATAGATATTAATTTTCACACAATATATATATCTAATTATTATTTAAAAATAACATAATAATTAAAAAGTCATAAATAATTAAATCCAATAAAACAGATTCATTAAAATTTTTTTAAAAGATAAATTTTTATTGTTTTTAATTATTATTTCAAATTTCCTTTTAGTTATATTATTAAATTATGAATTTAATTAATAAAATAAAACAATTATTAGTTAATAAGCGGCTAATAAATCATATGTTTAATGACTACTATACTAGTATTGAACCATTTATTGAAACTATTGACACAATTCAGCGCCGATACTATATATGTCTAAACAATTCATTTGATAGTTATGTTTGTAGACAACAATTATCTAAACATAGAGTTGTTTGTGTATTGATTACACAGTTTATACTATTGATATGTTGTCTAAAATTTCTGATAACATCTATTATCAATGAGGTATATAATAATATTTTTTTAAAAAATTATTTAAATTATTTAATGTTAAATTAATTTATATATATATTATTTAAAGTTATGGATTTGGGAGTTATTAGGCGATCCAAACTATACGATAGCCAATCCTAGATTGTTTGGACTGGCCATAAGTATCGGTATAACAACAGTATTATCTATACTAACTGTAGTAAACTATCAGGAATTCAATCAACAGTTATATTGGATGGAAATTTTATATAAAATTAAATCAAATAGTTTTGAATATCAATTAACTAATCCAATACAATTGAAACAAATAACCTATAAATGCAATTTAATTGCTAAATTGGTAAACATTTTAATTTATTTCACTACTCTAGCAATTAGCCTAGTTGAATTATATGCTTATTATTTAGCATTGTTAAGTGATTTTGATACTACATCAAATAACTATACGTGTATATTAAAATTTTTAACAATCAATTTACTAATGTTAATAGTATTATCAAAAATTACAAGTTTATTATATATTGGTTTTTGTCTATGGTATGGATTTGCAGCCTATAGTCGATTGAAATATTTGGAAATTTTTAATAATTTAAAAAATTTGTTAATAAAATCAAACAAATTACAACAACAACAACAACAACAACAAACATATTATTATAAATTACTTATGGATTTAATTGAATTACATAATAATTTTTCGAAAATTGTTAAACAATTTAATCATTATTTTTCTCGGATAACATTTATATTGTATTATATATCGACTCCCTGTCTATTATTGATAATCTATGGCACGTTTCATATTGATTCAACATTTATTGGCAAAATTATATTTGTTTTATTTATAATATGTTTTGCATTATTAGCATATTTTGTATTAATAATGAACACATGGATCAGCCGATCGGCACATTTACCCGAAAATCTATTATATAGTAATTTGGCTAAACATCCGACAACAACAACAACAACAACAACAACAACAACAACAACAACAACAACAACAACAACACTATCCATACATATGAGACTAAAATTGCTTATATATGCGGAACGACTATCCATTGGTCTGACAATTAGAGATGGGCAAATAGAAAGTTTCTAATAAATTTCCCTGAGAAAGTTTCTAGAAAGTTTCTCAGGAATAAATTTCTATAGAAATTTAACTTTTTTGTTATACTATAGGATCCCCATATCTATAGATATTGTAAAACTATAAATATATTAATGAGACATATAATGTTATACTATATAATGTAGATTAATGTATAATACTATATTATACAAATGGGATACCTATATAAATAATTATAATTATTTAATAATAATCAGTTTTGTAAAATTTTATTCACCATTTTATTATATCATAGTTTAATATAATTAAATAAATAAATTTTTTTACTTTAATTAATAATTAAAATACTAATACTAATATTTAAATATTACTTATAAAAACAATGTTAAAGATAACAAATATCGAGAAAACAAAATTAAACATGGGGATCCCATAAATAGAAATTTCTTTTAGAAACTTTCTAGAAATTTCTCTATTATTTTATAAATTTCTCTTTTTTGCCAACACTACTGACAATTGGTATCTATTGTTTGGATTTGTTTCCAATCAAAAGTTTACAAATATTTCAATATATCTATACTTGCGGTCAATTAATGTTTTTGTTGATGTCATTCATATAAAATAAGTTAATATTTTTTAGTAAAAATTTTGTTTGTATTTTACATAAAGATTTTGCTTTTATTTTTTTTATTAATATAAGATATTTTTTTTTGATTTACAATATATATATTATATTAAATCAAAATAAATTATTATCAATTTATTGTTTAATGTAATCAAATATTGATTTTTATATAAAATTTAATTATAATTTAGAAAACTTTATTATTTGTCTATTTCTTTAATTATTATTGCTAGAAAAATCACAAATTATTTATTTATTTTATTTACTTAATACTATAATATATTAATTTCAATAATATTAATTTATTTTTTATTTTTATTTGAATAACTATTAATATAGTATTTATACTAATTGATATATTTCATGTAATATTATTTTTTTTAAATATAAATAATTATTATATGTCTAAATTAATAAATAATAAAAATAATATTTGATTAGAAAAAATACTAGTATATATATATATATACTGTATATAAATTAATACAAAAAAATATAAAATTTCTTTTTAATTGATAATAAAATAAATTAGAGAGAAAAACACAATCTGTTTGAAATTAAAGCTAATTTTTTTATTATTAGTTATCATTAATAAACATTTTTATATGAAATACGATATCATACTTATAATATGTAATAAATAATTTATTTTTAGAAAATTAAATAATAATTATTATTATTATTAATTAATTAATTTGTTATTATCTATTTGTTGTTTTTTGGAAAACTAATCAACAATTTTTTTTAATTGTTTTAATTATATTATTTATCATTTATAAATACAATACACAAAATTACTATTATTATTATTATTATTAATTAGATTTATCTAGATCAAATAAAACAAATGTTGTATATGATAAAAAAAATTATATATATTTTTAATTATAAATACACAGCAACAAAAAAAATAATGATAAATTATACGTAGTTAAAAAAAATATTTATTATTATTTTTTATTTAATAACAACAGTTAATTTTTTAGTAATTAATTTTTGAATACAGAAAAAAATAATATAATATATTTATTTAGTTTAAAGTTTACTATCACTATATACAGTATAGAAATATATATATTATTTATTTATAATTATTATTAAATACTAATAATAAACAAAAAAATATGTATAAATTATTAATTTTATCAAACATACTGTTATTATTGATAGACATTAATAGTCTAAAAATAATTGAATCTAAAACTATTAGTAAATCACTGGCTATTATTGATTTACTAGTAATAGTCAACAATAATAATAATAATAATAATAATATCAATGATCCGGGAGATGACCTACAACATGATCCCTGTGCCCGTAAATCAAACATAGATTCCAGTCAATGTTTATTCAATAAACTACCCGATTATGATCCCCTAAATAAACAACTGGTCTACCTGTGCTGTGTGTCGTGGGTGGCCAACGATTGTATGGCCACGAGTGGTAAAGTTAGTTTGATTTTTATTTATTTTTTTTAAAAAAATTTTTAATAAATATTTTAAAAAAAATTATTATTATTAATAGGTTGATTGTACAGCTGATGAATATTTGACCATGCACAAAATATTGGACCAATTAATTCAATTGGGTAATCAAGGTGAATGTAAAGATTATCCATATAAATCGGGTATTGCTAAATGTTAACCGTAATAATAATAATAATAATAATAATAATAATAATTTTTTAACAAAAAATAAACAGTTAAATAAAATTATTGTGTTTTTGTTGTTGTTCTTGTTATATTTAAAAACTTAATAAAAATACTAAATAATAATTTATTTTATTTTTTGTTAATTAAAAAAAAAAATTAAAAAAAAATATTTTTTTTTAAGTTTATAAATCTGTAATTATTGTAAAACTAATCAAACGGTTATTTTTATTATTAAATATGCAATTTTGTCTATTGACTAAACATTGTAATTAAATTATATTAAAATTAATAAATTAAATTATATAAATATAACGTTTAAAAAAATAAAACAAAAATCAAATGTTATAATCAAAAAAAAATTGTTTTAAAATAAAATTAATAATAAAAAACAATTATTTGTTTCTACACTACATTTGCATTGCTATTGTTTCTTGTTTAGTTTGATGGACTCCCGTTACATAGTTATTACAATTATTATTATTATTATTACTAGTATTACTATTGTCTATAGCGTATAATTGTTGGCTAGTATATTGTAGCGGTAATCTAGTATTATTATTATTATTAAACGATGATTGGCCATTACTACTACTACTACTACCCGCACCGTTTAGCAATTGCATGTCTAGATTTTCTAATTTACCCGAACCGTTTATCACTGTAAATCTATTTGTTGACATGTCTAGTCCAGATATAGTAGTACTACTACCAAGATTACTGTTGATACTACTATTACTATTACATATTGTTGTTGCTGCCCAATTATCAATAGATACAGGTGCTTGAGTCAGTGGTGTTAATTGTGAACTGGTAGTAGCCATAGGTACAGGTGCTTGTGCTGGTGCTGATAGTTGATAGGGCGGTGGTGGTCGTGCAGGGGGGTGTTGTTGTTGTTGTATTATTGGCATTGTATTAGTAGTTGTAAAATTAGCGCCAGCTAACTGTCCCTGGTTATTATTATTGAAATTATTATCATGATGAGTTTTATTTAATTTTTTAAACAATCTGGTACGTATACGAAAATGATAGAATAGACCAAACACTATCAATAGTAGGATAAAACCGCTACCCGCTGACACCCCTATTACCCATGCTGAATTATCATTGTAGCAATAATAATAGTTATCCGGCTGAAAACAAGCATGTCCATTTTCCGATTTTTCATAGTATCCAGGTAGACATAGACAATCACCATGCTGACATTGTCTATAACGATCCATACGATAGAATGAACAATCATTATCAGCATTATCATCATCGGTATTATAATAATTGTCTGATTGACATAAAAAATATACACATTTTTCTTGAGTTTGATTATAACGATAATTAGGTTGACATATACATTGGCGGCTAACACAACGTTGATAATTGTCCATGGTACTATTATCCAAACAATCAAATCTAGTAATACAATTGCGCCTGGGTGGATTTAATAAATCCATAGTAGACAATGTTGATGATAATATTGTACTAGTAGTGGGGGTAGAGGGGGTAGTAGTGGTGGTAGTGTCGTCTAGTTTATTAGCATTACTACTACTACTACTACTAACTAATAATAATAATAATACTATAATTACTATAAATATATCACTAATTAATTTAACACTGTACATATTGTTTATTTATTTTTTTTTAAAAAATATATATTTATTTTTTAATTACTTAAAAACAGTTTAAAACATTAAAACAATATATTAATATATTTTTTTATATATTTAATGATAACTATTTAATAAATTTGTTTTTTTAAATTATTATTATACTAATTTATTTTATTTTTTAAGTTACAAATTGTCAAAAATATAATTATTATACAAATTATTGTTGAAATTATTATTGAAATTATTATTGAAATTATTATTGAAATTATTAATAATATATTAGTGGATCACAAAAAAATATATAACAACTGTTTTTTTTTAATAATTTTTTTCAATAATAATAGGAAACTTAATAACCTTAATAAACTGATAATATTAACACTCAAAAAATGACAAACAAATTACCATGGTTATTTAATGATAATTACCTAAACAATAGTAATAGCAAATATGTTTTATTTTTTCAATAAAATTGATAAACAATTATTGTTTAATACAATTGTTATTAAATGAAAAAAAATTTCCATTAATAATTAACTTTAATTAAACTTAAATTATTATTGTAATTATTTTATAAAAATATTTATAAAAAATACAAATAATTTCTAAATAATCTAATATTTCAAAAAAAATAATTTTGTTAATAAAACATTTTTTTAATTAAAATTTTAAACAATAATTAGTCAATATGTATTTATTAAATTAATAGTCACAACAATAAATAATAAAAAAAACTGTAATATTATTTTCAGTAAATATATTTAAGTAATTAATTTTAAAATTAATAATAAATTTAGTACATGAGACTAAATGTGATATTTTTGTTTATTTAACTTTTTTAAAAAGTAAAGTTTTTTTTAATAGTTGATTAACTTTTTTAACTAATGAAATTATTAAAACTGTATTAATTAATATATAGTATTAAATATCAAATTAATCTATTATTATTATTATATGAAACTTAAATTTAGATATTTAGCCAATATTTACATTGTTTTTTAAAACTTAATTTTTAATAAAAATAATTAAAAAAAATAATTATATTATAGTTTTATATGACATTTACATTTAATAAATAATAAACTTGTATTTTTTATTTAAAAAAAACTTAATCATTATAATTATTTTTCGAAAATCATTTTTATTAAAAGTTAATTAAATAAAAATGAAACAAAATAAATAAAATAAAAATAAAATTAGTAAATATTTATAAAATATTTTTGTGTTAATTAACAAAAAAAATTATATTATAATATTTATATAAAATATTTTTTTTAATACATAAATGCAATATAATATTAATATGTGTGTGGGGGTGGGTAGGGGTAGGGGTTGGGGAACGGTATGTTCAATACTAATCCTAATAATCAAACACTAGTCTCACGTTTGCCTAACATATTCAACGGGAGATTATCTATTAGTCGTATGCCTTCCAGCCGGACGGCGGCCAGTCGTCTGTCCCATCGGTCGATCACATAATCAACTTGAAAGCCCTGTTCGCGTAGATGTCTGTCCGCATCGACCGGTGTCAGTGATTCACGGAGTATAGCATACAAATGACTGGCTTTTTTGCGGCCATCCACTGATAGTCTACTATTACGGGAACTCATAGCCAGGCCTGAGTCCTCACGTATTGTAGGACAGCCTACTATGTTGACCCAGGGTGTCAACATTAGGGCCTGGGTCATTTTGCGTATCAATAGCAGTTGTTGATAATCTTTTTCGCCATAGTACGCACTGGTAGGTCGGACCAGATTCAGGATTTTCAATACAATTGTTAGCATACCGTTGAAATGGCCGGGTCGATTTTCGCCCTCCAGGTGCTTGCTTAGTTCAATTTCGTTTAACTAAAAAAAAAAAAATGAAATAAAATTATTATAAAATATTATACATAAAAACAAAATTTTTCATTTAAAAAAAATGTATAATTAGTCTCAATATCATAAATAATTTTTTTTTTCAAAAAATTCAATTTAATGTATAATAAATATTATTAATTGTTAAAAAAAATTGATGAATAAATAGTCAATCTATATTAATATTATGGAAACAAAAAAAATAATTTTCAAGCTAAAAGTACTAAACTTAACAGTCAAAAAAATTACATAATATTTAAATATTTAATATTATAATACAAGTTTTTTTTTTGTTGAAAAAATTACTGTTTTAATAGTTATATTAATATACAATTAATACTTAAAGTTTATTATACATTAATTTCTTAAATACAATTAATAAATACATTTAAGTAATTTATATTATTATAATCTAGGTCTATAATTTATTGAGATTGCTATATTAGTTTATTAAGCTATAATTATTACTAATTTTTAATAATAAATTATATATATATATATATATATATTTAAATAAATTATTTAATTTCTAAAATATATAATATTTTTATGAATATTTTAATTTATTAAAAAAAACTATAAATTTTACTTTTTTAAATTTTTAAATATCAAATGAATATAATATATATATTTAGATAAAAGCTATATATTTTAACCAACAAAAAATAAAATAAATAAATAAATAAAATATTTACTAAATATTTTGTATAAAAAATTTTAGAAACAACTAATAAAACAATAATTTTTAATAATAATAATAATTTATTTTTTTTAAAAATAATTACCTGTACAGTATAATCATCGGGATACATATCCTGTTTGTTGGGCACCAGTAGATAATCGATGCCACACTCCCCCAACAATTGCCTATCCCTGTCCAGTGTACGTGGATAGTTATCGTAATCACCCTGGTCATTAAATTGTGTTTGATTAACATAGATAACCACAACAGTTATATCATTGTCTTTCAATGATCGTTGACACATTGATAAATGCCCCGGATGTAAATTGCCCATGGTATGTACCAGTCCCATTGTTTTACTATGTAATCGAGCACCGGTATATATTTCTAGCCATTCATGAATATTTTCTACAACAATCATTTTTTTAAAAATTTATATTTCGTATTTAAATAATATATATTTTAAAAGTTATAAATATTATTAAAAACAAAATATTATTTATATTAAAAATTAAATATTAATATTTAATTATAATAATTAAATAAATAAATATTATTAATAATTAAATAAATTATTAATAAAAAGTAATATTTTAATATTTTAATAAATGTTAATAATTTAATTATAACTTTTGTATAATTAATTTTTTTTTGTCAAATATCAATATCAAAATGTCGTTATAAACAATAATAGTATTTTTTGATTTATTAATATTTATTGTACATGTACATTATATTAATATATATATATATACAGTATATATATATATATATATATATATATTATATTGTCTTAGGTTTTATTAATAACTGAAAATTATTTGTTTTTATCTAATCTACAAAAAATAACTGTATTTAAGATAAGATTAAAAATAATACGTTTAGAGTAACCTATGATACTATCATATTATTATTTCAATTAATCAAATAAATTATTGTTTAAATTTATTTGTAATTTATTGAATACTATAAATTACTTAAATCACTATTATATTTATAAAAAATAATAATAAATTATTTTGATTTAAATTTATAAATATATAATAAACTATATATTTAATTATATTTTATAATAATTATTATTACTTTTCAGTAATTTAATATAATAATGTATAACTATTATAAATAGAAATTAATAATAAAATTAATTTTAATTTTAAATATATTAAAACTGTAATATTATATTTTTGGATAATTAATTATTATAATATTTAGATTTTATTAATAAAAACAGATATTGTTTTTTCAAAATTAATTATTATTTTTAATTATTTAACAAATTTTGTATGTAAATTATTTTTACTACCAATAATTTTAATTTATCTATTTATAATTAAAATATTTTAAATAAAAATTATAGTTTATAAGTTAATATTTAAATAATTTATCAAACTAGATATTAGTTAAAATTTTATTTAAAAATTTATGTTTAACTATTATTGTTTTAATAGAAAATCATGTATAAGTTTATAATAAAAATTTTATTTTTAAATTAATAGTTTTTAATAATTTAAATATAAATTAGTTTTTTAATAAACTTTTTTTTTGATTAATTTGTTTCTTTTTTTAATAATTGTATATCAATTAGTAACACATATATTACAAATTAAAAAATAGCTGTTTTGAAATTTAAAAAAAAATAATTTTATTAAGCAATTTATTTTAAAATGTAAATTTTTGTAAAATTTTACTATTTAAACAAATTTAGACTAAATAAATACTATATAAATATATAATACTATATAATACTATATAATATTAAAACTGTAATTTTTATAACATTTATAATTTATACTACTAATAATAAATTAAATAGTTTTTTTAGCTATAGTTATACTATTAACATAAATTTTAAAAAACTTTTATAAAATGATAACAATTTTTTTTATTTTATAATAATAAATATAGTAGAAAATGTTTTTGCATTTGTTTTAAAAGTTTTATTATAATTATAAAATTATAAAGTGACTGGTATTTTTATAACTATATATATATATATATATTAGTCTTCTTTATAGTTTCACAAAATAATATTTAACAATAATAATAATTAAAATAATATTGTTTATAATTAATTAATTATTTTATTTTTTACAATTATTATATTTAAAAATATTTTATTAACTAAATTAATTAGATATTTAGTAAATTAAAGTAAATAATTTATATTATAAACTTTATATATATATATGTATTTAAAACTGTATTATTATTATTATTATTATTATTATTCAAAATTTAAATATTAAAAAATATAATTTTATTTATTAATAGATAACAAAACATTTACCTAATATAAAAAGTTTTTTTTAAATAAATAAATAATATTATAAATTTATTTACTTAAAAAGTAAAAATAAAATAAATAGTTTATGCCTATAATTACTTATAAAAAAAATTTATCATTAATTTTTAATATTATGTATTACCATAATATTTCTATATTATTAAAATTATAACTATCAAGTATTTTTAATATTCAATTATATAGGCATTTCTATATTTATTTAGCTAAAATATTTGTCATAAAATTATAATATTTTAATTTATTTATTTTTTTTTGCATTGTATTGGTTTTACATATTTTTTGTTTACTTAATAGATTTAAATTTATGAAAAAACTGTAATTTTTTATTAATATTATATGAAATATTTATTTACATATAAATAGAATATATAATTAGTAAAAGATTGCTATGTTAGTGTAATTTTTAAATTTTTAAATTAAAATTAAAAACATAAGATTGACAAATATTTTTTTTAATTATAGCATTTAAATAATAAATATCTAAATAATTGATTTGTTTTAATTATTTTGAAAAAATCAAATAATGTTGAATTATTAAGTTATAAGATAATCTTAAAAATACAATAAATATAAAATACAATTGATTAAAATTGTTTTTTATATTTAAGTTAATATTATTTATTCAATAGTATTGTAATAGATTAATATAGTTAGCATTATAATGTATTTTAATTAATAAAAAATTATAATTATACTCAAAAATAAAACTGTAATATTATCTAAATTTAAATTATACATATGCTTATATTATTTTTAAAAAATAACTTTAGGTATCAGCCGAAATTAATTTATTTTTTAATATTTAATTTAACAAATATATATATATATATTAAAAGATAAATAAATAAATTAGCAAAAACTGATTTATTCGGATTATATTATAAATAGCATATTAGAAATAAAATATTTTTAAAAAAATAATTAAAATAATATGTGATAAACGGTAAATAAAATTATTTTTATTTTATTTTTTATTTAAATACGATATTAACTAAAAATATCTTTTCTATATCACTAAACAAAACTGTATGTTTATGCGATTAACTAATTTAATTTATTTACAATTTATTAATTAATTAAAGTAAACAATAATAAAACTGTAATTTTAATAACATTTATAACTTATACTACTAATAATAAATTAAATTTTTTTAGTTATTGTTAAACTATAAACATTAATTTCTAAAAGAAAAACTTTTTTTTACATTTTATAAAATAATAAAAATAATAATATTTTATATAATATAAATATAGAAAAATATGTTTTTTTTCAATTTGTTTTCAATTGTTTATTTTTCTTATAATTATAAAATTATTATGTGTTTTAGACATTTATTAAAAAATAATTTTGATTATAAATTAAAAAATTATTTTTTGTGTCAGAAAATAAATAAATATTATTACTATTGATATGAATTGTTATATATTGAATATATATAACTGTAATATTATTATTATTCAAAATTTAAATATCAAATAATATAATAATTTTATTTACTAATAGATACCAAAACCGGCACGAAATATTTTTAAAGTTTTTTTTAAATAAATAATATTATAAATTTATTTACTTATATTTTATGTATTTATTTATTTTTTTAAAAAGATTTTATAAAAATTTAAAATCAATTCTACGTTTATTATTTTTTTATATTTGGAAAAAATACTTTTTATTATTACTAAAAAAACTAATTATTTAATTAATTAACATTAAATTGTTTGTAAAATATTTATTTTTTAATAAAAAAACTAAAAAATGAATTTAATTTTTATTAACAATAACTTAAAATTCAAAAATTAATAATAAAATAATTTAATATCTCTTTTATATCAAAATTGATTTTATAGTCAAAGTTCATATAAATGCAATAAATTTTTTATTATTTAGTTAATGTCTTAATATTTTTAAAAAACATAATTTTAATTTTCAATATATTAATAAATATTTTTTTTATGTCTATTATGTATTTTATAATAACTTAAAAATGATTATTTATTATTTAAAAAAAAACTATAATATTAGTCAAATTTAAAATAAAAATTAATTTTACTATTTTATATTAATTGAATAATGACTTAAAAGCGGCTAGTTTAATAAAAATATAATAATTTAATTTTTAAAATATTACAATTATATTTACGTATTAATATTTTCATTATTATTAAATAAAACATTTTATAAAAAATATTTAACTAAATTATTAAAATGTACACATTTATTTTTCAAATTTATTTTATTAAACTATATATTATTATCTATTAATTCTATTCATACATAAAATGTTAAAACTATTCAATAGATTATTCAAATATATAATTAAATAAAAGTGTTTTTTTAATATTTAAGTAAATTTATATATATATAACTATTAAACTTGTAATAAACTAGAGTAGCTAGAAATATTAATGTATTTTATAAGAAAAATTATAATTATAGCAACAACAAGATAACTGTAATATTATCTAAATTTAAATTATACATAAGCAAATATTAAATTTTTAAAATAATTTTAGTAACCTCACGCCCGTATTTAGTTTTTAATATTTAATTTAACAAATATATATATAATTATATAAATAAATATATTAACTAATTTTCTAACATAGCATTGTTTGACATTTTATTTACATAATTTTATAAAATATTGTTTGTGTCAACAACAACAAAATACTAATACTATATATACATATACATGTATATTTATATATATGATTTGTATATAATAATTAATTAAAATTTAATTATATTTAACAATAAATTTATAAGATTATAAATTTTTAAACTAATTTTATTAATAAATTAATAAATATTACTAATATTAATTGAATATTAATTTATTTAATAAAAATTATATTATGTTATTAGATATTATACAAATCAATTATTTAGTTTACGCTGTGTTTTAATAATTTTAAAAAAATTATATTTTTCAAAACTGTAAAATTAATCAAATTTCAAATATTAAACTATTATACTATTTATTTTAACAATATTTTTGTGATTAGACTTTGAGGAAAAATATTTTAAATAATTTTTTTTTAAAAAAAATAACACGGTGGATGAAAAAGTCTATAATAGCATTACTGGGTTTTAATGATAAT